GAAAAGCCATTTCTATATACTATAATGCGTTATCGATAGGGATATTAATTTTGTAAAAAGTATGTGTATCCAATTAATGCACCTTTTTCTGTGCTACATACACTGATTAGTTCGTAGTGTAATTTCTATGGAATGCGAGTTTTCGAAAGCGAACTTTAAGATAGATACTGCCCTCTCTAGTATGTCAAATTAGGCCTACTAACTTTTGGTCACTTTCGTGGTACAAGTATTTCGTTTGTGTATATGCTGCATACTAATCACACATATCTTCAGGAATTTGTGATTTTCGTGACTGTGAATAATTCACATTATATTATACGGTAACTGAAAAATGCTGTCATTGCGAAAATGTTGCTTATTTCGCATTTTCTTTTTTTAAACCAAATTTTTGTATCGAGTGACATTAACTAAATGGCTCAAACAAAATATGCTGCGTTTGATATCATCTTTCAAATCTTTTACACGTGCAGCAGTTGTGAACATAAAATCAATCAACAGAATGCAGGGTGGTGTTCAGTTTTACCGTGGTTCTAGTATATGTGAAGCAATAGCAATAAGGTTTAAAAAAACATTTTGCACAAACGTCGAATGAGGGGTTAAAGCGCCGTCTAACATTGAAAATAAAAGGTGTCCATGTTTTTTAAATAAACATTTGCTATATTGAAATTAAATTAATATTTTCGAACTACCTAATTATAAAGTATCCACATGTAACAGAAGAAATAAAATATTGAAATAAAGTCAGTGCGCGCTTATGAAATAAACATTCGGTCGTTACATTTTTATATAAAGTTTCATTTGTATCACATTATATTCAAAACTTTTTGTGCTGAATGATGTGGTAAAGCGTTATGGTTTGTTGATTAGTTTAGCTGAAAACAAGTATAACCTGCATTTTATTATTTTAAAGTACTCGAGTGATGTAATGACCTGTGTATCTTAAAGAATCTTCGATTTCATAAAATTACAAAAACAGTGACAAACTATGAATATGGACTGAGCGTAGAACGGATATGCGGTGACGTTAGACCAATTGTATATGACGTGAAGTGAAGTTATTTCGAACGGATGTGTGGATCATATTAGACCAGTTGTATATAACGTGCGGTGAACTTACTTAGAACGGATGTGTGGATTAGAATCATGAGATGACCTTGAGTATAACGAATGCGCGGATTAAACTACACAAGATGTATACTGAGATGACCTTAAGTACAACGGATGTGTGGATTAAACTACACAAGATGTATACTGAGATGACCTTAAGTACAACAGATATGTGGATTAAACTACACAAGATATATACTGAGATAACCTTAAGTACAACAGATATGTCGATTAAACTACACAAGATGTATACTGAGATGACCTTAAGTACAACGGATATGTGGATTAAGCTATACAAGATGTATACTGAGATGACCTTAAGTATAACGGATATGTGGATTAAGCTATACAAGATGTATACTGAGATGACCTTAAGTACAACGGATATGTGGATTAAGCTATACAAGATGTATACTGAGGTGACCTTAGGTACAACGGATATGTGGATTAAGCTATACCAAGATGTATACTGAGATGACCTTAAGTACAACGGATATGTGGATTAAGCTATACAAGATGTATACTGAGATGACCTTAAGTAGTATACAACTTATTCAGTTTAATCCACACACCCGTTAGCTTAATCCACATATCCGTTGTACTTAAGGTCATCTCATTTAATCCACATATCCGTTATACTTAAGGTCATCTCAGTATACATCTTGTATAGTTTGTTTATGAAATAACGATCCTACTTAAGGTCATCTCAGTATACATCTTGTATAGCACCAACGTACCGAGTTCTTGTTTAAAAAATTAACTAAGGAAATATAGGCGAAGTTGCGCTGTTTCTATATTTGGTTATTTCATAATTAAATACACATATATAGTTTTTAGTAATCAGCCAAAAGTAAACAAAGTGTCAACAGAAGCCACTGTATGTGACTATTCAAGCCAACTAATTGCTAATGCTTCATAATAATATAAATTATCTAGAAAAAATTGAATACCATAAGCAGCTGCACTAAAACTATACAACCAAATTTTTATTTTTACATCTCAACAATCGAGGGTTCGACCGAACCCCTAGAACCTTTACTGAGTATGTGTCTTACTAATAAAGATCGGAATACATTGCTTATTTAAAATGGAACTATGATATTTTTGCTTTTAAAAAGTTTGAGTAAGATCTACAGTTAATATAAAACAGCCAGATTTATTAATTATAAAAAACATCGTTCTTGAAGATACCAATCGTGCCCTCTTACCATGACAGTAAATTAATCTACTTTTTATATATGTTAATTGTTTATTGAAAAGATTCATTTGGCCATCCTATCACTGATTGATAAAATACTAATTAAATATTCAATATCCGTGATTTAGGCTTCTAATCATACCTTCGCAATCCGCACGTGAAAGTTCTTATATTTTTTTGCATTTGATTGGCACATGGGCGAACACGCTTCTCTGTGTTAGTCGTTCCTAATTTTGGGCATCCTGTGGCTCAGCGTAAGTCTGTGGACTTAAACGCTAAAAATTGGGTTTCAATACCAGTGCTGAGTACAACGCAGACAGTCCATTGTGTAGGTTTGCACTTAACAATAAACAATTAAACCCTAATTTTGAACTGATAGGTTAGAGGGAAGGCAACTAGTCAACAGCACCCACCGTCAATTCTTGTATAACCGAATGCTTGGATTTGACTGTCGCCAAGGTGCGAATTGGAGACTAACAACGATCTGGTAAAAATATTTATATATCGGCCCTCCAGTGGATTAGAGGGATCCTGAAACAACTGACTAGAGTGGCGCATTTAATGTTGCATATCCTGTAATATATACCAATACTATTCATACAGTTCAAAATGAAACAAAACTACAGTGAGCAATGTTTTTTGTTTTGAATGTAATTTTTATTACATTTATTACTTGTCTTAATAAAGTATAAAACATATGACCACAAAACTGAAACTACTTTACACGGAAAGAATTTTAAAAGTCAAATATTACAGTTATTTCTTTATCACTCCTCTTCGCTATAAACCGGATAGGCATTAAAGAACCAGCCCGGGTAATATCACATGCTACATACTTGCTAAACAATTAAAATTTAAAATCAGTTTCTAAGAATGCGTCGTCAGATGCACCGGCACATCGGGAAATTGCCCGATATCTTAGAGAGCCAATCCGCCCCTGTGGACACCCGATTTAAACACCGTGTTGAAAAAAAAATAACTTTTTTTGTTTGTTTGATTAATCACTAGCCCGCCAGGTATTTTCCCGGTGTCCCCAATCGGCATTTGTAGTCGTCGTTATAATGCACCCAGGGCTCAAAGTGCAGAGCGCTATTTTTTCTTTGCGGTAATAGGACGCAAAATAATGGTTTGCGTATCCACAGCTCAGTTGGGTAATCGATGGACTACGACAGACACGACCTAATGTGACAATAATAAAAGGCTTAGAACTTGCTAAAGAATAGAAACGTTCAAAGTGACACTGTAGATTTAAAGTATATCTTTTATTTCAGCGACTGTTTTAATAACTATTAGAAAATATAGAAATTAACGTGATAAATAAGACAAATATTTTACCATACTAGCATTTACAATTTCTAACAGTGTCTGAACCTAAAATTGGAAGTGCTTATTTTTTAAGGTTAACTCTTATGTAAGACGCCTCACAAAATTTGCAAACCTATATTGAAAATGTGCAGAGCTATACACATTAGTTAACTTTAAAAACTGTTTAAACTTTTAATATTCCAAATTGTGTCAAACATTTTTTTGGTGTTTTTCTTGAGACGAAAACATGACACAAAGTAAGTATAGCCTAGTTAACGTCCCGGATAGGATAGAGCCACTGAGATGGTAATTCCTTTACGAGTAGAAATATATGAGACTACTTCACCGAATTTGCTCGTTAAGGTACAGTTGTGTTTTCGAATATTTGCGCAAAGTTACTCGAAGTCTATCTGCGCTAGACGTCCCTGATTTTGAAGTGATAGGTTAGGAGGAAGGCAGCTAGTTAATAGCACCCACCTCCAACTCTTAAGCTTCTCATGTCGTACCAGTACTTTTTTTCGCGGTAACGGGACGCAAACAGTGGACCCGCAGATTTATAGTCCAGCACGCTAACTACTGGGCCACACTCGGTCCTAGCTAAAGAAACAGTCGCGTTTACTTTTTTCCCCCTTTAGACGGGACAGGCATTTAGTTTGAAAGCGAGGTTCGAAAGAGGCGAACCTTACCCAACTGGGATGTTTAGGAATATATTTCACCATTGATTCACTTCTTTTCCAAAATGACATGTTTATGTGGGCTTCCTGACAAAGCCAGAGCGATGACAAAACCGTTAGTATGAGTATAGAGAAGTTATCTTTGTTGACGTCTAAATTGTTCAGGTTTAACGTTTACTACTTAGAAAAACATTACTTGCGATCCTCTAGCCCCCCCCCCCCAGTGGCGCAGCGGTATGTCTGTGGACTTAAAACGCTAGAAACCGGAATTCGATACCCGTGGTGGGCAGAGCACAAATAGCTTTGTGCTTAACTTCAAACAAACAAACAATTCGTTCTCTAACCTAATTAAATATCCAGTCCAAACAGATAATAGTCATAACACATTATAGTTTAGAACAATTTAATTTTAATTGAAACTTTTTTAATGAAAATGCACTGACTAAAACCAAGATCTATTGGAATGAAAGTTAATTAAAATTTCATGCAGACGATTTTTATACTCTGTACGTATGAGTAGTGAAGTGTTTCAAATATGAGAAAAATATCCAGCTGAAATGCAGCAACAAACTAGAATTTCTGTGAAGGTTCAGTGCGGAGACTTGTTCAACCTCAGGCACTAACAAGTAGTCTTTGATTTTGTCAGTGTAATTTTAAGGATAGATGGCGCTACTTGCATATATAAATAAGTCACGTGATTGGGAGTAGTTGAGCAGGAAAATACTTGGAAGGCCATTAGCAGATGCTTGACATTTTGTATTTGGGTTCGTAGTTTAGTTGGCATATGTTGTTGGACTTCACTCTTGCAAGTTTAATTTGAAGTTGTTCTTCTTACATAATTAATTAATGAAGTTGTAATGTCTTTTCCTGAGCTTCCACCAGATGCTCCAGCTCCACGTTTATGTCATTTAGTTAAATGGCCAGATTTTGATGGATATGGTTTTAATTTACACGCAGAGAAATCGCGGGCAGGACAGTTTATCGGCAAGATAGATGTTGGCAGCCCTGCAGAATTTGCAGGAATGAAGGAAGGAGATCGCATTATAGAAGTTAATGGGGTGAACATCGCAAATGAAAATCATAAACAAGTTGTTGAAAGGATTAAAGCTGTTCCACACGAGACTAGACTATTAGTGCTCGACGAAGAAGCAGATAAATGGTATAAAGAGAGAAAAATTGTTGTTAGAAACACACAGTCGAACGTGCTTTATTGTAAAACACCAAGTAAACAACCTTTAAAAGGAAGTGACGAACTTGCAACAGATATAAACGGGGAGAATCACAATGGAACTGACCATGTCAGTGAAGAAGAAAATGACAGTGGCCATGTAGGAAACGAATCTCCTGTTTTGGTAAATTGTAGTTTCCACTTTAAGTTTGAACTGAAATGTTTCATAAACCGCACCCTTTAAAAATTAAAAGTATAGGCCGTAACATCACTGATTTATGATACTGTAACTATAGTACTTATAACTTAACCAACTTCTATCACTTATATTACACTAAAGTTCCCGCGTGGATAATTTCTTCAGCTCGTGGAAATGACAGTAGACGTCGATATAGATGACGAGTGGGATTTTTTTTTCTTTTTTCTATTACACTTACAACTAATAATATCAGTAAGGTTGATGGCAGGAACTTGTAAAGTTGATATGTAAGAAAAAAGGTTAGTTACACCATGACATAAATCTAAATTTGAATGACATATTTGCCATGATGTGATATAAATCTGTTAAAGATTTTCTTAAAAGTTAAATCAAAAAAGTTTTAGGGCTGTGTTTTTATGATTATTATTTTATGTTTCAAAAGATAGTAGAGCATAAAAATTATATATGAACGTGTGTGATCATCGCTGCTTACACTTACACTGTTACAGTAGGTTCCTTGAAACATTTTAAAGTTATTTGTGCTAATAAAAGAACTAGCAGAAAAAACAAATGGTTAAAAATGAATTGGTTATTTAAATGATTATTGTTGTTTCATTCATATCAGCACAAGTCTTGTATAGAGAATTGTACAGAGATAAATCTCAAATACATTGAATATAAATTTGTTTTGTAAATATCCTTCTTTAAAGAATGTTTTAGGTATAATTTATAAACAACATAATATTACAAATTAAGATTATTTGTAATGTTATACAGTTTATTCATAGGAGTTCTGATTGTTCTGTAAGTGAAATTTTTAAATAAGTAAATTTAATTTAAATCTTAACAAAAAAAGGGGGGGGGAGACTCTTAATTGTAACATAAATTTGAAGGCCTAGAAGTGGTGGTCCACAATGGTTTTCCCATTTGTTTCATCAAACATCCATCTTATAATTTTTATTAAGTATTCATCAAGTCTTCTCTTGAACTCTCCTAATCTTGTTGCATCAACCATGCCTTAAGGCAACCTATTCCAAGTGCTGAACACCCTGTTAAAAAAATAAAATAAATAAATTGCCCTAATTTGTAGCCAACTCCTACCCTACCAATCCTTAAGTTAAACCAATGTTGCCTAGTCCTACCACTCTTGTTATTAAACATAAAAAAAGATGATGTATCAGTCCTATCTACTACATTCAGTTAGGTAAGTCTGCCCCTTTAATGAAATTTTCCTTCTCTCACTGCTCAAGTTACTATATAAGTAAAGGGACGGTATGAAACCTGTAAATTTATTGCTGGACAGGTGAGGTTCATATTGACCTTGTTTTACTCATAAAACTGTCTTTATGAAGAAAAAAACATCGAGGGATAAATATAGATGGATTGTTAACTTTGACAAGAAGTAAAACAAAAGTATGGACAAGTGAAATGTTATCCTTTTCAAACTGTATGCTGATAACTAATTTTTAAGATCTTTTTAAAATCTGTAAAATGTGATAAATTAATGCTGGAAACAAAAAAACATTTTCTTGAGTGGTGAGGAAGAAATGAGCATTGTGATAATATCAAAAAACCTGTTAAAGTCAAGCTACGTTGTATGAGATTAAAAATAGTCCATGTTCATAGGGTCTTCTATAATTGGCACTTTGTATGTCAACAGTTAAAGATCAGATCCTTCTTGTATGTACTTAAACATGTAACAGGTACGTACATGTAGACATTCCATTAGCTTGTATTGGTTTTTGTTTTGTTTTTCTTTGTACTTGGAACCACCTGTGTAGATCCTCCACTGTATAAACAGGTTTGTAAATGACAACAGTAGAAAACTGCTAGCACTGTCCAACCTCGCCTTAAAACCTAAAGAAAAGCTTGTTTTCCACTTGGCCAGTTGACTGAGTAGCAAGGTTAGTTGCTGTAACATGTAGATTTTTTTTTAATCATAACAGATTTAATAGTCACTAGTTTTATAGTTGACTACACAGTAGCAGTTGCTTTTTTATAGGACAACAATGACTTCATAGTTGTATGTCCACTGTCTCTACCAGAATAATATGTTTAAGTATAAAGTCTTGTTGTTTGGTTCACACAGTTACAGGAATTTCCAGTTAGATGTGAGTGCACTAAAAAGATTTCCATTGTTAACAGATAAAAGACCATCATAGAGACCTTGGTATTGGTAGTCTTATTTTACATGTCTTGGAGAGTTTTAAGGTCAAGGTCAAAGTATTTCAAGTGAGATGTTACTGGATTTACGGCCAAAAATATTGTTAACAGCGGGGATACCTAACTGATAAAACAATAGATTCTAATCGTTATAAGTAATATAGTTAGAACATTATACTAAATTAACTGTGGTCGTTACTAGGAATATATTTTCAGTTTTGATCTATGTACATAGCTTTCTTTTACTAGAAGTTAATATTGAGTAAAATCATATGACGAGCAAACTAATGGAGCAAAAGCTGACATATCAGCAGATCATCTTACTCTGTTTGTCAGAATGACAAGCTTGACCTGGTGAAACTAGTTGTACATTGTATTTAGTAAACTGGTATAACATGTTACAATATTTATATGTTGTATTTATCAAATTAGTATAAAATGATACTATGCATGGCTGCCTACAGTTATTGTTAGACTGGTGAAATGATGATGTGTCTGGCTGCTTACTTGTATTGTCAGACTAGTGTAACATTTGGTGTATAGTTAATATTTAGTATTGAATGATAATGTACTGCAGTAGCCCTAAGGAATTCTGCATCATGTAAATAAAGAAATAACAGAAAACTAATAAACATAAAGTTCGTAGCTGACAAAATTTCTACAGTGCTGTCAAAGAAAATTGGCATTTGATGTGTAACTATGATAATGGCTGGTATGTATAAATCTTGTAAATATAAGTTTTCCTGGTATACGTGGAATTTAACCACTATGTTGTCTGTGTGTAACCAGGTTACTTCTTTTGTATGTGAAATAATCTGATATACATTAACACACTTTATATATATAATTATAATTTATGAGGAACTGCCCAAAAAGCTTAAGAAACTTGTACGTTTTACCTTAACATAAAATACACGCTTTTCTCATAAATGATGATGTTCTTGATGGATATCTGGGATGTTGAAATGCTGTAGTAAGGTTGTTGACATGTGATTTTCTACAAGACATTAGTGTAGTAACCATGTTTATTAATAATTTGTTACGAAAATTTAGTTAATGATATAGATAGCTACCAAAAATTAGCTTGTAAAATAAGGAAGCAAGTACCCTAGAACAAATTAAGTAGAAATGCATCATGTTTTAATCTGAAATCTACACTGTCTACAATGCTTAGAATCAACAGTTAGTACTTTTATTTGTTGTTGTAAACCAGTTAACATTCCTTAAGATTCAGCTAACTTAGGTGATTTTGGTTAGTCCATCTTAAATTCACGTATGAAGTTAATAATGCAAAACAACATTCCTGACTTTAAGAGTTACATCAATTGTTATTCACAATTATTATAAATATTCTGACCAATAGCTATAAACAAGATTGTAGTAGATCATTACTTGTTTCTCTCAAACTCTGTAGTCAGCTACTAACAGTTAAAAGTTGGTTTTGTTAATGTTTTTTCTAAGTACATAGTTGGCTGCCAAAAATCAAGTTATTTTTGGTAGTGCTATGTGTAACTATATACTAAACTAGGAACAATTAATAATTGAGTTTATTAGTGCTTTGTCTAACTAGCTTATTTAAATCTATATACTTGTGAAAAGGTCACAGGGAAACTTGCTGAATTAGCTGTATTTCAATCTCTGTACTTGGTGTGAAATGGTTACAGTCAAACTTACTGGATAAGCTGTATTTTAATCTCTGTCATCATTATCATCAAGTGCCGTGCTTTGTAGCATAGGTGATCATGTCCCTCCACCTTTCCTGGTCCCAGACACTTATGATTACTTGGTGTGAAAAAGTCATAGTGAAATGCTGGATTAGCTGTATTTAAATCTGTATAATTGGAGTGAAGATGTCACATTGAAACTTGCTGGATTAGCTGTATTTAAATCTCTATACTTGGAGTGAAGATGTCACATTGAAACTTGCTGGATCAGCTGTATTTAAATCTCTATACGTGGAGTGAAGATGTCACATTGAAACTTGCTGGATTAACTGTATTTAAATCTCTATACTTGGAGTGAAGATGTCACATTGAAACTTGCTGGATTAGCTGTATTTAAATCTCTATACTTGGAGTGAAGATGTCACAGTGAAACTTGCTGGATTAGCTGTATTTAAATCTCTATACTTGGAATGTAGATGTCACAGTGGAACTTGCTGGATTAGCTGTATTTAAATCTCTATACTTGGAGTGTAGATGTCACAGTGGAACTTACTGGATTAGCTGTATTTAAATCTCTATACTTGGAGTGAAGATGTCACAGTGAAACTTGCTGGATTAGCTGTATTTAAATCTCTATACTTGGAGTGAAGATGTCACAGTGAAACTTGCTGGATTAGCTGTATTTAAATCTCTATACTTGGAGTGAAGATGTCACAGTGAAACTTGCTGGATTAGTTGTATTTAAATCTCTATACGTGGAGTGAAGATGTCACAGTGAAACTTGCTGGATTAGCTGTATTTAAATCTCTATACTTGGAGTGTAGATGTCACAGTGGAACTTGCTGGATTAGACGTATTTAAATCTATACTTGATGTGAAAAGGTCACAGAATATGAATCTTTGTGCTGTATCCACTAGAATAAGGAACTATGTGATATATCCACTAGAATACGATTTTTTGGTGCTACATCCACCAGTAAAAGAATCTTTGTGCTATGTCCAGTACATATGTAGATGTATATGTTAATTTACTAACACTGCACATGATTCTATTATTCCAAAAATCAACATCTAAAATTCAATACCTTATAGTTAAAGGGAGTAATTAGAACATAAAGTCATATGGAATATTCGATTAACAACAACAGAATTTCAAGTGGATGGATTTTCACAACAACAGATGCTCCTGTTTTCTATAACAAAACTAAGTTGAACTAAATAGTGAGTTTGATGTTCTAATATTATAAATGTTGTATTATATTTTCTCAAAAACATTGTCTTTAAAATAACATCAAACCTTCATAGGCTAATATTTGGAAAAATATTAAAATCACCAATTTCCAAATATTTGAATTTTGGGTCTATAAATACATTTTTTTTTTATATACAATCATTACAGCCTATAGTTCTTTATATTTGGTAGCAAAAGAATGCAAGTTGTACAGTTTCTTAAACTATTTTCCTTTTACACCAGGTTGTACTGTGGTGCATTATTTATATTAATTAGATATTTTTGAGTACCCTAGTATTTGGAGGCATTTCCCATGGCTGATCTTCTAATTTGTAATTACAAATAGATGTATTTGAATACACAAGTATTAAACAGGAACTACTCTGGCCTTTCTTCCAAGTCTTAATAATATTTGGTGTTTTTCATTATACTGATACTTGTGGTGGTGTGTCAAGGGAATGAAGTATTTAATTATTTGATAGATTGTTTAGGCAGAGTATTCATGATGAGTACATTGGAACACAATGTAAACTAGAGATCTCAAACCTCTTCCTTCATCTCCATAGCATCTGCTGATTCTAGTTCTACATCAGCTGGGTTATAAGCAATCTCTGCTTCTGGTTCAGTCTCCTCGGTCTTTGATGATATCAAATCTTCTTCTTCTTTACTTTGCTACATGAAATATCAGATTGAAGTTAAACATTCCATAGTTTCAGTTATTAAAGGATACCTACACATGTATATTATATCCTGTTAGAAAACCAAAACCTGTACAACATGTACAGCAACTAATGTCTTGTAGAAAATCACAGTTGCTGCCCATTCCAATGTATTCATCATGAATACTCTACAACAGCCAGTTGCTGCCCATTCCAATGTACTCATCATGAATACTCTACAACATAATAAAATACATTCCAGTGTACTCATCATGAATACTCTACAACAGTCAGTTGCTGCCCATTCCAGTGTACTCATCATGAATACTCTACAACAGCCAGTTGCTGCCCATTCCAGTGTACTCATCATGAATACTCTACAACAGCCAGTTGCTACCCATTCCAGTGTACTCATCATGAATACTCTACAACAGCCAGTTGCTGCCCATTCCAGTTATCTTTTAGAACATCTACGTAACCTAGTTTTGGTACCTTAACTCTTTTGTGTCCAGATGGATTTAGCCCAACTCAAAAGCAAATTTACACCATTCAATTGACAAAATTATAGAAAAGAAATGTGTAGTCATTTTTCCATACATTAGAAAAAACTTTAGGTAAAATTGTTATGTTCTTATTGTACATGAGGAAGCACTTCACTTAGTAAAGGTGGCACCACTTGTTCCTTTGTAAAGTTGGTTGTCATGAGATGCTGTTTTATTGTTATCTCCATCTAAACGTTTACATTTGTAAATCAACGTTGAAACACCTGTTTAAAATATGACATGACACAAATAGTAGCGTGAATGGTGGTGAATAGTTTGAAAACTGGTGCTGTAAGAGTTTTACCTCTTTTGTCTTGATTTTTTTTAGTCCAATCTGCATTTTGATCATATTAGTGATTTTAAAACATGATACTCGATATGTAAGTGTTCATCTGGCTTATCTTTCCAATATGTACATACGTCTCTAGAATAATGCTCTACTGTTAGTAATCTGTAACAACCTACAGTAGCCTATAATAATTGACTCTGAATGTGTTTCAAGTGTGAAAGTAACCAATTTTGATTAATATTATTAGTAGTCTGTAACAACTCACAGTGACATGTAACAGCTGACACTGGATGTTTTTCAAGTGTGAAACTAACCAGTTTTGACTAATGTTGTGTTGATCCAGTTCTTTAAAAACAAAACTCAAATATATACCTCATTTTCCAGTGGTTTACATTAAATTGCGGCTTCAAATGGTGAAAAATAAGTCAGTTTCATTTTTTAATTTGCTTCTTTTTAAGGATTGTATATGAAAGAGCTTTTAAGGCTGAGGGAATCAGTTAACTACTTACCTTACATTCTTCAGTATCTAAGATGGAGACCTTACTAGTAAAGAATTAAAATCCTTTGAAGTCTTCTACTAGCAGAGGGTTAGTAGTAGAAGAAATATGGTTTGAAAATCCTGAACTTGTGTAAGCCATTCAGTAAGGCATGTGTTGTGTGGGTTTGATGGTCACGTTTTAACACATGAGCTGATTGTATATGGGAAGAGTAAACCTCATCTCCGGTTAGTATCAAAATAACCAGACTTGAAAAGGGAATGGCTCTCGTTAGATTCTTGATACGTATCTTGTTTTTGTGGTCAAATCTTAATACCTTTCTGTTAAGAATTTGTGTAAAATTGTAATCAGAATCTCTGTGAAAGTTAAGACCATTCTGAATAGCTTCAGTGTAGAATGTAGAACCCTGTTTTTATTATATCCTGGTCACAATCAGAATCTCTGTGAAAGTTAAGACCATTCTGAATAGCTTCAGTGTAGAATGTAGAACCCTGTTTTTATTATATCCTGATCACAATCAGAATCTCTGTGAAAGTTAATACCATTCTGAATAGCTTCATTGTAGAATGTAAAACCCTGTTTTTATTATATCCTGGTGACAACTTAGTGGTGATATAAGGTTTTAAACTTGCTTATTAATGAATATGTTAACTGTGTTCGTTCTGCATCTGTTTAAAAAGCTCAAGTTGACAACTTGCATCTTTTAACTATTTCCATTATTTACTTAAAACAAAGGAAATATTCTTGAACCATGTTTAGTTTACATTGTTTGTTCTTTTCTCTGATAGAACAAAATCTCTCCAGCCTCAACACCTAAAAGTCAAGATAGTGGTTCAAGGCAGAGAAGTGTTGACTCTGCTTCCGATTCTCCTCAATCCACCAGAAGTGCCCAAAGTCAGAATGATCAGCCTGAATCAAAAATGAAGACATCTTCAGAAGACTTGAACCTGAACATGAGTGCCTCAGAGATGAGGCAGTTACTGAGTGCTCGGAGGAAGCGGGACCCGAGAAAAGAACAAATGGATATGCGTGAGAAGTACCACATTATACAGCAGATGTAATTGTCCAGAGAGCCTAAAATATCCCCATGATTGGTGTGAAAAGCTGTTAGCTTAAGTTTATGCTGTTGCTAATCACAGAAATGTTTCAAATTTGTATAAGCAGTTTTTATATCTTTGTTTTACCACTATTCTAATTATTCCAGAAAATTAAAGTTTAGAGTAACTTGTAGGAATAATTGTTGGCATATTCAGTCGGTAGTTATGTCTTGGAACATTAAACCTTTTATAAGTTGCTGCACTTGTTGAACAGCAGATTGTGCCTTACACCTTATTAAAACTATAACATTCCATTGGTAGAACATGTATAAAAGGAATGTATGTATAGAAAGTTTTATGTAAATTTTTCCTGGAGTGTTCACTTTCTAACATAAACTTGTAATGAAATTCTAGTGCCCCAAGAAAAATATAAAAAAAAATGTAAGAAAAGAAGTGGGCAATACACACTGCTATGGAAAATGTATTTTATTACTAAGGATTTTTTTAGACAACAACACTTTGTACTTTAAGAGTGAATCATAATGAAAAACACATCTTTTTTGTATTACCCAGGATTATTAACTTGCATTTGTGCTATTTAAAATAAGGAATTTATTTTGTACTTTCTGTGTTTTTAAGTTGGCTGTTTTATTAGTGATGTTTATCATACAGGCATCACTCATGATGGCTTGTTTATCATTCTTACTTAAAATACATCTGATTGATTTAATAAACTTGACGAAAAGCTTCATTTCCAATGTCACTGTAAATGATAACATAAGAAGAAAATATAGCTTTGTTGGTAGGTAAGATGACTGAATAACTATCCAGGGGAATTAAATGTTGATATTGTGGGTTAGTAGTCAATGTGAGGACATTAGAACAAAATGGTGTACCAATTTTCACTGGAAAACAGTAACTTGACCACTTTAAACACTGTAAGTAATAGATAAATGTGTAATAGTAACCACAGGAATGGATTAATGTGTGATGGTAAACCACAGGAATGGATTAATGTGTGATGGTAAACCACAGGAATGGACTAATGTGTGATGGTAAACCACAGGAATGGACTAATGTGTGATGGTAAACCACAGGAATGGACTAATGTGTGATGGTAAACCACAGGAATGGACTAATGTGTGATGGTAAACCACAGGAATGGACTAATGTGTGATGGTAAAATAAGCAACTAACTTTAGATGAAACCAAGGGGTAGGAGAACACAAGAACTGAAACTTCAAATGAGTAAAAAGTATGTTGTTTAGGGTTTGTTCTTTCTGCTTCATGGTTGCTAATTGCATCATCTCTAATATAAAGATAATTATAATATAATATAAAGATAAAAAAGGAAGTAAATAAATGTTTCTTGGAGCTAATCATGTGACAAAAATAATTTTTCTGTTGTTTCTTATGTTTGTAGTATAATTGAGTTTAACGAAACATTGTGTACAAGTTTACGAACTGTCAAACAGACCATTTCATTGATGTACAGGACAGACAGCTATAATAAAGAAACTGCATGTTTTCAAAATGTTGAATAATTTTTTGTATCCTCCCCCCTTCAAGTTGTGTAACGTTCACTGTCTATTTTTATTGCACAAAATGTTTAGTTCTTGATTACGGTTGCAAAGCTGTTAAAATTGTATGGTTTTCTTTTTAAGATTCCATGGGTCTTATCCACGTAACTTTTCCTTCTTGAACTGGGATATTTTTTATAAATGGTATTTTGTAACAGATGTTGTCACAATAAAAATGTTGTATGTGATCACATGTTGCTCTCTGTACATCTTTCCTACAATCTATGCACCCGGTGATAACTTGTGTGAAAACTTGGCACAATACAGACACATTTATTTATAATAGGAAAACTTCCATGCAAAAACTTCAAAGCATGATTTAACATTACCACTGTACAAAAACGAACGTCCTCTAGTGGTTAATTGGTATCTAAGACTTATACGCTAAAAATAGGATTTCGATACCCGTGGTAAGCACGGCACAAATATTCTATTATACAGCATTGTGCTTAAAAAAAAAATCAAACGCAAAAAAGGAACCTCGGTAACATTACCTGCAAAATGACATTGTGTCCGTGTTTTTTTTTGTTAACTAGGATATAATGTCATGCTCGAATAACCATGGAAAGTCATCAAACATCTATATACTATTATAAAGTGAAATTCCAACTACAAATAGCAAAACTTGTGCGATTTAAGTTTTATCTTTTTTTGGTGGGGGGGGGGGGCATTTTCTTCAGTGAGCCCGAACTAGAGGCTGTTA